TTTAGATTCTCAGTGCTGTGCTTTAAACTGCTGCGCCACCAGGGAGGGCCGGACCACATCTTTTTTAATCCAGTCATACATTTTTTGGGCATTTGGGTTGTTTCCATGTCTTTCCAATTGTAAATAAAGCAGCAATAAACGTGGGGGGGTGGGTGCAGGTATCTTTTTGAATCAGTGTTTTTGTGTCTTTTGGGTAGATACCTAGGAGTGGGATTGCTGGGTCATAGGGAAGCTCCATGTTTAGCAGTTTGAGAAACCTCCAAGCCATTTTCCATAGTGATTATACTAGTTTGCATTCCCACCAGCAGTGCAGGAGAGGTCTTTTTCTCTACATCCTCACCAACATTTGTTGTTGCTAGTTGTTTTAAGATGTGCCATTCTCACTGGGGTGAGGTGATATCTCATTGTGGTTTTAATTTGCATCTCGATACGGAGGTTTTTAATAATCAACGTGACATGACCTGATTCCAGTCACAACTTTTAACTGTCTGATTTTAACTGTAGCCTTTTCAGCCACAAATTCTTTTTACATTTTTAAAGGATTGGAGAAAAAGGAAGGATAGACAAAAAGAGGGACAAAGAAACATTCTGTCCACAAAGCCCCAAATATTTACTGTGCATCTCTCTCATTACAGTTTGCTGACTCCAGTCTAGACTGAAAAAGACAATTAGCATTTATTGAATGCTTATTTTATACCAGGTTTAATATTATCTTTAGTTTGTAAAATTCCCTAGTGTTCTAGGGTGATCAGCTGAGTGGATGAGCTAAGGTTGAAACCCAGGCTGTGGGCTCTTGGTCCCTGTGATCCTGGAACAACAGGGAAGGACCTGGAAAATTCCCAGCACTTGGAGGCATTAAGTGGCAGGAATTAACTCTGAAATATTTCTCCATTTTGGTATATCCTTGCTTAAAATTTTCTTTTGTAGATGTGGTATATATACACAATGGAATATTACTCAGCCACCAAAAAATACTGGATGGTTTCACTCATAGCAGGAGTATAACGGACCAGGTGAGGAAATAATAATGAGTAAATATATACCATTTTGTGGGGGTGGAGTGAGGAATGGGATCAAGAACAGTGGGAGGAGGGAAATACACTGGACTATGGTGATGGCACATGGGTGATTTGGTGATGGGAAGTCCACAGGGATTACAACTGAGATGGAAAAAGACACAAAATGATGTAAAAATAAACTATTCTATAAATTTTTTTTTTCTTTTGGGTGCTCTCTTCTCAGGCTCTTGGCCAATGTTTCTCCATGTTTTGGACCTTTAACCATGCTTCCCTGAAATGTGAAGATGAACAGCTAGTGATTAAAAGGATTAAAAGAGTCAGATTTTGCTGGCAGGTAGGTTCTGTCAGAGAAGTATAAGTGTGGGGATTTGGGGGGTGAGGGGAATGTGTGTTAGTGAGGGATTCTGAAGAAATTTTTTGTGACGAAAATGCAGATTTTAAAATGCAGGTAATTTACAGCCAGCCTCTGATCTTTGATGACACAAACCATTAACAGGTTTGCATAGGTTTTTATTACTGCTCTCTCTTGATGGTTCTTCCCGCATAATTATTACTCTGTATGGTTTGGAAATTCTCTTTATACATTTAGTATTTACCTATTTCTCATTTTTATTTTCCTGTTTTTTTGTTTTTTTTTTTACCTTCTTGTTGCAAAGCCACAACCTGACTTTCATGGTAAGGATTTGTGTGCAGCTTAAATAGGTTGCTAAACATCAAAGAGATTTGTGCATACGTAATAAAGATGTGTCGCAGGGAGCAGGTAGCTGCAATCTTGGTTGGAATTTTCAAATCTGTAATAGTAAATTCTCTGCATAAATAGAGTAAGCATGTAATTTCTATGCATCAGGTGTTGGATGACCTGTGTGGCTCAGACAGGAAAACCTCAATCCTCTGAGGAAGAACCATGAGCATTTGAAATTCTTTGCGGTAACTAAAAGGTTCCCTAATGTTATTTCCTAAGTGTGTCTCCTCAAAGTTTGTACCCTGAAATTCCAAGCCCCTGTGTATGAGGAGTTGGGGCTTTTGGAAGGGGGATTGTTAGGTCATGAAGGTGGCATCCTCATGTATGGGGTTAGTGTCCTGACAAAACAGGCTAGAGAATATTCTAGCTGTCACCATGGAAAGACACAGAAAGAGAAATCCTCTGCCAGACACAGAATCACTTGGTGTATTGATTGTAGGCTTCCCACCTTCCTTCACAACTGTGAGGAAGCCATGCTGTCTATGAACTGAGTGTCAGCTATGTACTAGGGGTGAGCTCTAAGACCCAACAAGCTATTTCCCAGACTCCCTCACTGTTTGTCTTTGATTAGGTTCTGCCAGTGGGAGGCACTGTTGTGTTGGAAGGTAGGAGAGGAGAAGGGATTCTCTTCCTGCTTCCAGCTCTTATTGCCTGCCCTGGCCATGGTAAACATTACTGGAGCAGGATCTTCTAATTCCAGAGCCTCCATATGACACTTCCTTCTCAGGAATCCCATACCTGAGATCCTGCAATGTCACCAAAAAAAAAAAAGGAACCCCATGGTAACTTCCACAGTCCCACCTCTACAGTTCTGAGCTAACACTATCTTCTACATTTTGTATCCCAGGTTGATGTTATAGAATGAATTGTGTTCTCCTCTTACCCTCCAAATTCATCTATTGAAATCCTAACTCTCATATTGCAGAATATGACTTTATTTGGCAATAGATACCTTAAGGAGGTAACTAAATTAAAATCAGGTTGGGCCTACTTTAACATGACTCAATGCTCAATGTCTTTAGGAGAAGAGAAGGCTAGGATATAGACACACATGGAAGAAAGACCCTATGAAGATAAGACAGCCATCTACAAGCCAAGGGGAAAGACCGCATAAGAGACTGGCCTAGCCAACACTTTAATCTCAAACATCGGACCTCCGGAACTGTAAGGCAATGAATTTCTACTATGTAAGCTACCCAGTTTGTTATATTTTGTTAAGGCAGCCCTATCATGCAATTATAAGTGATAGTGCTTCTAATCTCTGGGTTAATCCACTGCCTCTATTTTCTCCGTCTTTTCTATTGGCCATTTCCTGTATTAAATTCGCTTTTTGATATACTTGGCATGGGTTTGGTTTCCTAACGAACACCTTATAAATATCTTAAGTCTATGTGTCTTACACCTATTTCCAAATAGTCATATTCTGAGATACAAGAGTTAGGATTTCAGTAGATTAATTCGGAGGTTAGGAGGAGAAATATGAGATGCTGTAAAATGGATGAGATGATTTTTGATAATTCACTTAAGAAATATTCTTTAAATAGTTTTGAATTTAATTGCAAGAGCTGCTTAAGACAATGCTCTCTATCCAAAGTGTATTTCTAATGCTGATTTCTGTGGGGCATCAACACTAGTGGGCCTTAAGTTTCCTTTCCTACACTCATTTTTTGAATTGCCAATTGCGCCTTCACAGTGTGAAGAGTTAGCCTTTTCCCTGCCTGTTTTTCCTTACTTGGCAGTGCTTAGTAAAAGCTGGCTGAAGGGCATGTGAGAGAGACCATCCTAGTCACTGCAGTTCTTTAAGCCATATCAAGTGAGATCAATTTTGCTATTGTTTTGTCCACTCACTGATGTGGGAACACCTACCAATCCCTATAGAATCTTCTGATAATTTCTAGAAAAGCTTAAACAATATAACTCATTGGTCAATTGCCTGCTCATTTCCCACTCACATTCCCATATTTCTTTACTGTGTATTCAGAGGCAGGTATACATTACCGGCTGGGATCCCCAGGATACAGATTCTGAGATAAAGAGGTTTTACTGGCTCTTGAGAATGATACCTGTAAAGGAGCCAGGAAAACCTATTGGTCAGAGGGAAAAGTTGACTGTACAGTATACTCAGCTAGCCCTCAGGGCCATGGAACTGAGACAGTGCTTTGGAGAGGTCCTGCTTGGGCCACGGAATATAGGCCTCCCCATGGGGGAGGAGGACCCTAGGATGCAGTGTTCTCAGTAAAAGGCAGAGGGTCACAGTTGTGGGCTTTCAGCAATGAGGCTTCTAGCAACTGCAAGTTAAGACCCTTGTTGCTAATGGTGAATGGGGGTCAAGGTGACGTATTGTGGTGTCCGCTGTGATTAGTTTTTTTTTTTAAAGATTTATTTATTTGTACAAACAGAACTGGGGTACAGGCCAGAGATGCAGGGACAGTGAGAGGATTACCAGAGACAGAGTGGGGAGCAGAACAGGCAGATCAAGGAAGTACACTGCTGAGGGGAGCAGTGGGTGGGTCAGGAGAGGTCTACAGTGCCATGTGGGTCACCTCCAGGGCAGGGATCGAACTCATGATGAAGTGCTGTGCTTGAACTTGCTGTACCACCAGGGAGGGCCTCTCCTGTGACTAGTTTTATAAAACTTCTCAGGGATTAAAGGTGTACACCATAGAATATTTTGACAGTATATTTACTTGCCTGAATGTGTGGGATCCTTGTGGCCAGGTGTATATTATTATATCACTTGCTATGTCCCAGTTGCCAGTAAAAACACTGTACATCTGAGGCACCTGGTAAATGTTGCATTTAGTAAGAAAATGTGTTTGTTTCAGCTAGTATTTGTAGTGGCAGGAAACATAAGGTATCATAGTACTCACTGAAAATGGGTTAAAAAATCTTGCTTTTACTCCCATTTTGGAAAAGCAATGTGACCTAGACTCTGGAGTGTAAACAGGACACTTCAGAGAAAAGCAGAAATCTGAAAGTGTGCCAGATAAATTGCTCATAAGCAGGAACAGAAAGACCCATGTTGAGAATGGCTTTATCAGTGAGCACTGGTGAGTAATGGCCAGATACACTCTGGCATTGTTTTCCCTTCAACCATTCTGTATTCAGACAGGACACAGCGATTGTCATTTAGTACGTGCTTTTGTTAAGCTACCCTGATTCCAGCAGGCTCTCCAAAGTCAATAGACCATTGTCTTATCAGTTTCAGGTAAGAAAAAGGATGGAAAGGCGGCAACATCAACAGGAAATAAAACATTTTTATTGAATATCTGTGTAATATGATAAGTCATTTTTAACAACAATCAGAAAACTACTGTGAAATTCACTACACAAAGTGAAACAAAATTTAAACCACCTCATCAAAAATGAAGGTAAAATACAGCTAAAGTAGTTGGCTCGCGGGCCACGAGCCATATGGCAGAAGAAAACACCCCAACATTTCTACAAGATACAGAGAAAATCCACACATAGAAACACTCAAGCAGGCAGTAAATATACACAAAGGCAACTAGGATCTTTCTAGAGCATCAGGTTCTAATTCTTACACAGCTTTGTCAGAAAGGTACATGTGGCTTATCTGAGGATGAATCTTGATCTTAAAGCAGGTTCAGTCACAGACTTAAAAGATGGCATAGTACCAGCTAAATCTATGGTGACAATCCCTTGTCTGGCAGTGTTGCAAGAGGATGCATTAGTAGTACTTTAATGCAAGAAATAATGTGTGTTCGGCAGCTTGAACCTGTTTGTTTAAAGTGTTGTTTCAGCATGAACAACTTAAAGCTGAATACAGTGAAGTTAAATGTCAGTTTTGAGTATTTAAGGAATTTTTAATTGTCAATGGACTCCCTCTGTTTGGTAGGATTTGGTCCATTAAGTTGGAAAGATGCTCATTCCACTCTTCTGTTCATACTGTTATTTAATCTCACATCGTCACTAGTGCATTTTATCTATATTTTTAAAACATACGAACCATCTACAGAAGAGGGAGATGTTATTTTTCCTTTATCCTTTGTGTCTGTCCCAGTTCTAAAGAGTTTGTTATGACTGGGCTGAATGGGCATGCCTCTCTTTTGGTGAGCAAAGACTAATGATGAGAATTCTAGTTTTATCAGGAAACAGCCAACCCTATGTTCGAAGCCCACCCTCAGCCCTTTTGAATTCTCATTGAGTTTTCAAAAAACATGGCATGGCATCCTAAAGTTTGAACATGAGGATAATGCTTAGTTTTCCTCTATTTTGTTTTGGTATTGTGAAGATAAACTTTCACGGTAGAGCATCACTACCCTCTGTGGCCTATGATTCAAATGGGTCACAGAAGTGATGGGAGGAAAGAGTAGATGCAGTGTGACATAACAGCTTGCCCTCCAACAAAGTGATTGTCTACCATGGTGGGGGACAATATGGAATATTGCACAGTGTTTGACAAAATGCTGTGTTCACCCCATTCTATAGGTATCTTTCTTGTCCTATGCATAGCTTTTCAGTTCTGAATTGGTCCTTTGTAATGAGAACTGTTTGTGCTACACACACCTTGGGCAGTGCAGTAGAAGGGAATGGCAGTATTGTTACAATATCACTACAGAATAAATTGAGTGCTATCCACTGAGGAAACTACGTGTCTAAGCACACAGGGCAGTCACAGTGTTACACAGAGCATCCTGTAAGACTCTTATGAATGACTAGTAGCGTCAGAATAGTGCCATTACTACATAATAACATTGGAAACATTGAAAAACTCTTTCTAAATCAAGCATATAGTATACATAAGAGGTTGCTTCAGTTTTCTAGAACTTGTTCTTGGTTTTTGTTTCACCTTTTTTTAAAGGACAAATTAAAACTTATTTAAGTAAAAAGAGCATATAAAAAGATCACTAGCTGTTTGTTTTGGCTTAATTGAAGTGCATTCAGAACTATGGCTAATTGTTTATTTTTTTCATCTTTTGATGGGATTACAATACTGTTTACCACAAAGTGATTTTGTGTAATAAGCACAGATTGCTGTGTTAAAAATATTCTGCATTCCTTCTAATCTGGTTTTGTATAATAAAATATTTGTTACAAAGTCTAATGTGCAAACATTTTCGAATTATCATAGATGTGAAGTCTGAAACAGAATTCACAAGATGCACATTTTGTATAAAGGTGACAACAGAGAGCTACTTTTTTTCTTCTTTATATAGTCAGGCAATATTTCAGAAATGCTGACTTCTCCCCCCTCAACTTCTTCCCACCCACCCCTTCCCCAAACAATGCACATGCGCACACATATAGGGACACACACACACACGCACACACAACAGCATTGTGTTGTTACTCTATGCTGTAATATGAAATCATTGACTTCTGTTCAGTTGCTTCCTCCAATGTCAGAGTGAAGCCCTGATTTTAGCTTTGTACATATGTACAGACAGATGCTATTCTGGTTTGTGGCTATGCTTCCTGGAGGTCAGCCTAGATGCTGTTCAGATCATGCTAATTTGCCTGTGAGAAAATTCTACAAAATTGGATTCACCCACCATATGTGTTGTAGGTGGATCTTGGTACTCAAATGATCAATAGAAAGCTCAGATTTAAGTTGTCCTTTAAGATATCAGTTTCACTGTACTAGTACCTTACAAGTTGATATTTTTGCTGGAATGCAGACGATACTATATTTACCATATAATATATTATCAGCTCTCCTATATTTCAGTCATTTACATAGTTTAAAATAGAACATCTTATTAAAAACATCTAGATATACACAGATTAGGAAACGCTTACAACATACAAATACACAAACTAGAAATAAATCTTTAGCATACTGGTATATACAACGGTGTGATACAATAAATAATTTCAGTCATGCTCTATCTACACATCATATTGCTTAAAAGAAGAGTAGATTTGGAGGGCAGTGGTATGATGAAGGGACGCTTAGGAATGCTCTACGTTTAAATCTGTGCAAATTAAAAGAGGATTTGAAGTACCACTGAATTGTATTAGGAACGCATGGCTGGGAAAATGAAAGGACCCATCTTACTGAGGTATTTACAGATACTGGCTAAAGAGCACTATGTGGGCAAATGCAGAAAGGCTTCTTCATTTCTTTACTTCTTAACTGCCAGCATGGCGTCAACTTCCTCCTCTACCTGTAGGGTGTGCCACTGGGCAATGGGTCGCCTGGGGTTGGCCAGCATGTCTGACCAATGTCGAAGCTCCGCTCCGGTGCTGTTGTAGCCCACAAAGACTTTGCCGATTGCATCGTTCTTGCCAATCTTGTCATAGTCCAAAACAGTTACCACCACTTGCACTTTCTGAAAGAGAACACACAATAAACATTAATATTCCAGTTCTAGAAATAAAGCCCTATCAGGAAGCTTCCTTCAGAACGAAGCAACTGCAAATAAAAAGAGCCAGTCTCTAGACATCAGGAGAAGCCTGAAAATGAGTGGAACATAAAAACTTGAGCCCAATTCCTATTTTGCCTTTACTGCATCATCGTCTTCAAAGTATTTAAAAAATGTTATTTGAAAACAAACAAACACACATAAATTTGATATTGTCCTGAAGTCATTTACGTGAACCACCCAGTTTACTCCTAGCAATTGATCCTGCCAGTATTCCCTCCACACAAGATGCTGAGGTAATATATGGAATGAGTGGTTTCCAGAGTCTGTGATGTAAGAAGCTACCATTCCTGCTGTTTTCATGTCAACTTAATTTCACCTCTAATTCCATTTGGTTCAGTAGTCTCATCTTCATAATTTATGGCATTGCCATTCAGGTCATTCTTTTTTGGGTTACAACTTCTCAAACAACCATGGACTCAATCCCATTTCAGTGGAGATCAGCCAGATTTGTACATACAACTGACATGGAATATTAGCAAGAATCATGATTATTGAGAATATGAAATGTGGTAATAGTGAAAGTCCATAAAAAGTCATAATGAAGATAATTTTTCTCATTCATAATTCAGTAAACATTTATGGAGCATTTTCTGTGTATCAGGGATTCCATTTCAAATGGAAATAACAATTTAGAACATATACACTTGACTTTCATGATCTGTTCAGTTGTGAGGGTTGCTTTAATAACTTTCTTTTTTGAACAAATTGAACTGATGAAAATAAACAAATTATTATGATATGAAAGGAACACTTAAAAGCACAATTTTGTTCTGCTTCCTAAGTAATGAACTTGCTTTATCAAAATATGTAAAGTGCTGGTCCAGAAACTGAGTGTTAAGTAAAGAGTTTAGAGTAAAGTAGAAAGCATAACATTTGTGACTAGTTAAAAGAAGCAGAAAGCATAATTTTGAAAGCCAGGGCTGGAAGGAGAGCTGAGTTATGTCCTTTTGGGAACTGTATGCCTTGAAGGCTGTATTATTGGACCAAGGTGCTGGAAGATGCATTGATGTACAGCTTCAGACCAGAGAAAATGGCCATTTCCGAAACTTGAACATAGCTGCAAAATGCAGGATCTGGCATTTACCTTTTCTCGTGAAGACTGGGATTGATTCCATTATCAATGTATTTACCTATCAGCTGGGAGGCATTTAGAACCAAGAATAGAGTCACATTGGCTCTCAGAATTTTCACCCAAGAAAACACATCAGAACACAATCATATTGCCGGCAAGGGGGTGGCAGAGGTCATAAGGCAGTGGCGTTATGCACAAAGGTAACAAGGCTTTTTGAGGTTGTAAAGAGTGGTGTGAGTTTTTATATTCCATAGAGGAAGGCACTGATTAATAACACTGAAAACAAAATATTCTTATGAAAGCCTTGCATTAATTTTCCCGCATAAAGGTATTTGTACATACTAGGGGGATGTAACATCTTCACGTGTTGCTGGAAATAAACATATTTTGTTATTCTTATAATGCATTTCATAGGTAGAGAAAGAAAGATACTTTCGTTACTTCAGGATAAAGGAAACCTAATGCCCTACTTTAGCATTTGGAATGCTCAGATTTTCTTTAGGGAAATGTAAAGACTAGGAACTAGCATTCGGAAAGAGTAAAAAGAGGCAGAAATAACTCAAGGAGCAGAGGAGGAGGGATACAGTAAAAGACATTCCCATTATTTTCAGGCTTAATGTAATTCTATGAGATTCAGGTTCTCTCTGTCCTGACAAAATGTTATGTCTTTTAAAATACTGGCCCAGAAGACCAGTGTGTGCCTGTGTGTCCTATTTTTAGTGTGTGTGTGTGTGTGTGTGTGTGTCTGTGTCCTCCACACACATAGATATGTATGTATTTATATTCATTTTAATGTATAGGTATGCGTTTGTTACAACTTATAGCTGAAAAAGGATGTTTTTATAAAAGGTATAGAATTTCAGCTTAAAGGAGAAGGTTTTATGATAGGATTTTTCATCTCCATGTCCTGCCTTACAGTGTTTTGTGGAATTAAAAAATAAAACGCCAGGAGGTGTTAGTTTTCTTAGGAATAAGGTCTTAGATTCACAAGAGTTCACTGAACAAATAGAGCAAAATAAATTGTTGGAGGAAATTGGATGTCTTAGGATTTTGCCAGGGAGTCCATGGCAGTAAGCGTATTGGTTCAGGCTAGTGATCTGGGTATCAGAGACCGGGAATTAGTGTCCTCTGTAATGTCATTTGCTCATATAATAGATTTTGAAAGAAAATAACTATGTATAATTTTCTGTCATGTGAAAATATGTATAAGAAAGGTGATATAAATGAAGATGTTGGGGTTATTGGTGATTTTGTGTCATTTAAAACTTCCTTACACTATATAGTAGCTACTAGCCATATGTAGTTGTTTAAATTTAAATAAATTAAAATTGAACTTCCTTGATCGCACCTGTGGATAACTGCTCATTACCCGCAGGTAGTTGGTGGCCACACAAAATAGTCATCCTCATCCTCTCAAAATTCTATTGAACAATACTGATTTGCACATTACTTTTTCTTATTGTCTAATTCATTTTCTATTAAAATGTTAGTTTGAAAAGAGACACATTAGCATGTGAATAAGAATAACAATGGGAATTATTTATGGAAGTGTTTGCTGAGTCCTATGTGCTGTGTTCATTCTAAATGCTTTTTCTTATTGGCATAATCTTACTGTAACATGAGTTCCGTTATGTTATTCATATTTTATATGTGAGAGAGTTCTCAGCTTTATTTTCTTTATGTATAAAACTAGGATAATAAAGGTACCTCTTTGATGGGTCATGTAAGGATTAAATGTAAGGATTAAATGCATGGAAAGTGCTTAAATTGTAAATATACAATAAATATAACTATTATATTAATTTTCTTCATGGAATAATTATGTGATTCATTCATTAGATACTGTCTCCTAAATATAGATTAAACTGTTTTCTAAATAGATTAAAAGAAAAAAATGTTGCCAACGGAGAATCTTTGCTTTTGTTTCTGGATCGTTAGAAGTTTTCATCTTGTAGTTTTGATGTCTGCTTTTCACTTCTCCTTCAAGTCATGGGAAAATACTTATATTGCTGTGAAGAGAGAACTACCTAAATGTATAAAAAATGTTAAGCAATTGGACTGTTTGATGCCTGTTAGAGATTAGCAAGAAATATCACATGACTATTGAATGTAAAATGTGGATTCCAATAGTCTCACTATGGATATGAGGTGAGAAAACCTAAATATGTTTTTAAAAATATCACTAAATAATGTCATAGGTATCATTGTGGCTACATGTAGCTCTTTACCTTGAACATATTAATGAAAAAAATCTTTTAAGGGAATTCTTCCTATTATAAAAATTATTATCTAGCAAATCAAATTCTATTATAAAAAACACCCATATATTCCCACCCAGAAACAAGAAGTTTTATCTGAACAAGTAAAAATATAATGTAGCTTAATCTTTTCACTGATTATAATCTCTTAATGATAAATGATTAAAGATATTATATACTTAGCATCAACCAAGACATCTATTTTTATTTTATTTTTTAAAAATGTTTATATATACAGAACTGGGGTACAGGCCAGAGGAGCAGGGCCAGTGAGAGGATTCACCAGAGACAGAGTGGGGAGCAGAACAGGCCAACTGACAAAGTACACTGCTGAGGGGAGCAGTGAGTGGGTCAGGGGAGGTCTTGCACCCTGTGGATCACCTCTGGGGCGGGCAGGGATCAAACTCATGCTGAAGTGGCGTTAGCTTCTTAGTGCTGCGCTTTAATCTGCTGGGCCCTATTTTAATTTTTTTAATTTTATTTTTTTAATTACAAGTTTATTTTTACATCATTTTGTACTTTTTTTCCATCTCAATTGTATATTTTAATTTTTTAAACTATAAAGATGTTACAAGGAGAATTACATATTGTGGCCTAGAGACAAACAGCAAAAACTCATTTTTCCTCTTCTTTTTTTTTAAACATTTGAGGATGTACTTTTTGAGTTAGAGGAGTTATTCTGTTGGTTTTACTTTTCCTACTTTATTTCTGTTCAATAGAATAGCAGCAGTTTTTCACTGATGAATCAGCAAATCCTATACTGCATATTTTATCACTTCCCTTTCAATGTAGCTCGAACATTGACTGTGCATGGGAATAGAAATAGAAGTTCAAATGGAGGAAATTGTAATGCATATTGCAAATTTACAAAGTCTGCATTTAATTTACGTGATCTGAAGAAATGAAATTGGATGGACAACAAAATTATGTTTAACATTACCTGGATTTGCTCAAAAGGTACTTCAAAGCTGAATGACTCATTGTAGTAGGGGTTAAGTGTATTCTTTTTAATTGTTGTCTTTTTCTTCTTCAGCCTCTTGCCATTCTGCATCAGATGAATTTTCACATAAGGATCTGAAAAACAAACAAAAATTTAGGAGATCAGAGGCAGATGTTTTACATTATAAGTTAGCTTATAAAAACACCATTCACAATAAGAAAATAAATACATAGCATATATTTGGCTTTTATTTAAAAAATAAACATTATTTTAATGAAAGATTGTAAGTTATTCATGGACCATGTTCTTTTTTTTTGGCATGAAATCTCAGTATTTATCATGAAGTACAGGAGATGAGAGCAGTGGTTTGCTAGACTAGTTCTTTAGGAAAAAGTCTTAACAGGTAGCATTTGCCAACATCCATAGTATAAATACTCTCAGCATGGCTGATATCATGCTACCAGCAGTTTAACAATTGGCTTACAGAATTCCTGAAAATTTAACAATTGACTATTGTGAGCTGGCAAAAATCTCACTGCAGCATGCCATTGCACAGGAATAAAACTCTCTCGAGAGAGGACAAAAACCCATTCACCCATTCATTTATTCATTCATTTACTCAACTGATATTAGTTAGGTCTTAGGGATAAAGCAGTGAATAAAACAAGCCATCCCTGGTTTCATGGTGAAACTTCAACTTGTGGGGGAAAATAGACAATAAGCTATTTTAAAATTACAAGCTGATGAGAATGTTCTGGAAGGGAAGAACAGACTAGAAATACTATAGAGGATACTGGGAAAAGTATGGTAAGGTAGGAATGTTTAGATAAAGCTTCTCTCTGGAGAAAATAAGAGAGGTGAAGCAAAAAAAGTGAGAAGAGGCTGTGTGTGTGTGTGTGTGTGTGTGTGTG